TATGTAAATTGTTCTCGTTTATAACTTACGTTCATGATTGATTATCGGTGTTAATTGTTAGAACACACTTTTTAACTTAATGTCTATGCATATCCTCAATCAAGTAAGTTACAAGCAAGGATGTTACCCTTATCGTTGGACGCCCCGCGCGATCGCAGTGACGTCACGACCGCGTCATCAATCAGGTGCTTGGAAAGCGTACGAAGGCACGTCTTGGCTCACAAAGTTTTGATCCAACCTCGGATTTTATATAAAGCAATGCGCGAAAGGAATTTAATTAAACACACATGTGTTTAGAGTTAAGTTCAGGCTTTAATACAGGCGTGTTTCTCTCAATCTGTAATTGTTATTTTCTTTTGAAATGGGGCTAAACTAATATTTTTTTATCATTATAAAATTAATACGCACCAACGCAAACGAACTAAAAAGAAATATAAGCACTCGCGCACGTACGTGATTTTTCATTCTCTAGCATAGTTGTAACGATTTAATATGGAAACGTCTTAATTAATCTTGATGGATGCAGCCAACGTCACAGATCAGCCACAATCCCAATTTTAATACGAACTTTAATTCGTGTGAATATGTGTGTACAAATACTTTACAGCAGCCGGATTGTTTGATTATTACGTCCACCGCATTTCATTATTCGATTGATGTATTTCGTACCGCAGCAATATTGCATTGAAATGTGCCCATACAAAGTCGATTCCGCCGTTACACTGCCGAATGGAATACATCAAATATCGGAGCACTAGGTCACCGGCAAAATGAGTAATCCATAAAGCGTGTTTATTCGATATAATTCCTTTATGAACAATTTTTCTTTGTCATTTTGTTTGTAAAATCTCCTACAAGTAAATCAAAAGCAGCATCCTACCAAAGTAAAATAAATTTTCTTTAACGAAAGATTTTAGTTGAAGTAAATTTATGTTAAATGTGTTGACTGCTTCTAATATAACAAAAGGTTTGATTACAATGACATAATGTAATGCACTTTCGTATCTCTAAATTGTATAACGGGAATTAAACAACTTTAAAAAAGACAGTAAACCGTTCTCGTACCTCCCCATCCCACTCCAGCACTAGCTGTTTATTTTACTACAGAGAATGATATAAAGCTTTACTGCTAGTGCAATATTTACAAAATCGCTAGAGGAGTCATTGGTACCAGGTTAGTGTAAGGTTGTAGCATACGAGAAGACGGCATAAGCACTCGAAAAGTCAAAAAACAACCATACGTCGCCTGAAATAGCGCGGTCTTTTCTTTGGCTATTTTGAACGGTCATTATTCATTATTCACCGTTTATTTTGCTGTGCCAATTTGCAGATCAGATAAACTGCAATCACAAACGTGACGTGACGTAACGTCAACGTAAGATTAATTCCAATCATTAAACATCTGTCGGGGCAGCAGTCAAGACATTCGCTGACGTAATATACATGTCATGACATTACACTCGGTTTTATTATGACTACAATTGCCGGTTAATTAGCAATACACATCAGGTTGCCTTGTGTCTCTACTGCGTGCATTTTAAATTGGACATTCATTTGTGAACGTCTTTTGTGGAACTTGTGCTATATTCAACGGTATATTGCAACGCAATATATTACCTACTATAAGAATACTTAAACTACTATAATTAAGGTTAGGCATTTTACAAATAATAAATAATGGGTAATAAAGATTTTCTTTGTGGCTTTAGTTGGGTGCGATAAAGTTATATTTTCATTCGAATGATGATTTGCAAAATGCTAACACAATTCTGACTGCTCTAACTGTATGGTTGTTGCAGTATAGTTCAATGATAGTCGTTGTAACTGGACTTATCATTGACAAACGACATAAGTTCGCTTATTACTTTAATATATACAAAAACGCGTGCCGTAAACTTAGATGTCGTTGTTTGTGCTATAAATAAATTAACAATTTGAAGATACGCGACAACGTTTCTCCGTTACTTTTGTTTTGTAAAAGACGCAACTAAAGCCAAAGCGCACTTACTAACAGGCAATTAAATTATTGCTAGCGTCCTTCATTCAATTCAAGTTCATTATGCAACACTAGAAATATACCATAGTAGGTAGGATGAGGGTATAGGCTCGCGTAGCTCTGCCACATCATCGATTGTGGCAGGATGGATTGCAGTTAAGGTGCAGGCGGTTCTTAATAATGCACTATAGTACATCGTATCAAAAATGGAGTCAGTGGTCCATATAAGGCGATTTCTAACGGCGCCCTAAGTGTTGTCACTCACTTAGTGCCGACTCGCGCTGGTCCGCAATAAATCATCTCTATTCGGAACGCGCGCATGCTTGATTCGGCACCATTAATCACACGATATGAGCATCGCGTTACTTGTTACACGAAATCCGTTAACGATGCGCCGAGATAAATTAGGGAGGGGATTAGTGTCGATGTGGACGAATGCTGCACACGCGTATTGCGTCTAAAACCGGCAGAGGCCTAAATCTCTAAATTCCTAAATAAGTCTGCGTAACACAAGCTCTGGAGTAGTGCTTGCATATAGTCCAATTACCATGTGAATGTGATGTTTAAAATGGTTTAACTTACTGCATTAGTCAATAAGATTCGCATGGCAATTTTTTTGTGGTAAAATTTTTATTGAAATATTTATTTTCAAACGTTTTTTTATGCGAAAAATTTTCAAGCCGGTAGTTAACCTGATGTTAAATGAATTCCGCCGCCTATGGATAAATCCGGTGGCGTGCCGATGCGTGCGTTAATACTTCCCAAGTTTTTCGCATCAGACACTTGGGAGCTGTATTAGACGGAAATCTCTAGCTGTTGTCATCATAATAAGAGTTATAACGGTTGCATATTTTGCTGTACATCGCGTCTTAGACATAAAACTTGTAACTGCATCTCATTAGACTTCCGTCGCACGAGCGTTGTCTAGCATTGTCGTAGCCATTCGCAGATATGGGAGTGACGCGGAACAATGACGTCGTCGTCGCTACGTCACTTCCACAAAGCGCCAGGGTCGGATCGCGTAATGCGTGCGTATTACGTATACATGGGCCCACTGACTTCTAATTGCTTTCGTAGCGAGCGCGCCTCCCTCCGCCAATGGCCTGGGCTTTGTGCCGCGCATCCTTAACGCTGGTGTCAAATGAGTAACACGGGCTAATGAGCAAAAAAACCCGTGAAGGGGTTGCATAATGATGCCCCCACTCAGGGTGCAGGACAGCGTTACGTGTTTTTTTTATTTCTCCGCCTCATAATACACTCCCACGCGAAGTGTGTGCGAGTGTGAGAGCCGTTTGCTGAAGATAAGTGTCACGTTTCGTTTTTATGGTGTAAGGAGAGAGGAAAGCTTTGAGTAACACATGTGCAGCTTATTATAGATTATTTATCAAATATTTCTATTAGTAATTTGATGAATATCGCAAACAGCACTGCAGAGTGTGTAAGCCTTAGACCGTTTTTCAAAGATTTTCTACGGTCGATGATCAATGTTTCCAAATTGAATATCACCTAATTTGGTAGAAAAAATAGTATTAAAGTTACGAAGGGAATTTTTGAAAGGCGTTCATATTTTAGCACTATACATATTGCTTTGACAAACACATGAATGCCAGCCCAGCGACTACTTGAAACGCTTTCTAGTTTAGACTGAATGGATGCATGCTCAAGGCTTGTTGTGTGTTTTGAATGTTTTCACAAACCGTTAAGATAAGAGTAGCTAATGTAAGAAAACGTTTCCAAGCTCAGTTAGGCGAAATGTTACAAAAGAAGTGTACAGTTTCTTACAAAAGAAGTTGGAAGGTGGAAACATTACCTTAAAGATGAAGGAAATAAAGAGATATTTTTGTGACGACAGCTTGAACGACCATGGAATAAAATGGGGGCAAATAAAGTTATTGTTAACGATGAAAAGATTAAGGATCTACCAAAAGAAGGAGAACCTTTTAAAAGTCAATACAACATAACGTGTGTTATTATTTAGAATTGTTGGAAAGAAAGAAAGTCACGGATTTATGGTTACTACCAGAATAGGCTGAAGGCGTTAAATTCAGACAGAAAGACAGATATACATAAAATATGTTTATAAAAATTATAGCCTATGTGTTATTCTGATGTATAAGCTATATTATTGTAAAGTTTCATTAAAATCCATTCAGTAGTATTTGCGTGAACGAGTAACAAACATTCATCCATACATACAAACTTTCGCGTTTATAATATTAGTAAGGAAGTAAAACTAAGGATTGCACGAGTGTGTTACTCTTCCAACGCCCGTGCTAAAAACGCGCGAAAATGTTCTCCAAAGCGCGCACTGCCGCGTTAAAGTTAAAGCCACGGCCACACTTTAGCGTTACCCGAAAAGGCGCTCGGATGTGGTCCAACGGCGGAGTGTCCGTTCGAATCGCAGTTAACGACGCGGCAGTGGCGCTCGAATCGCAGTTAACGACACCCCGCCGGCGTAGAAGTAGAGCTCGATAGTTCGCAACTGCGCCGGGTGTTAGCGGAAAGAAGTTTGGTGGACGTGAGGGGACTGCGGCGGGCAGTAATTCGCCGATGATACCTGCTCAGATCCAAGCTCGGAATTCATAATAGAGGTGGCCACTAGGATGAAAGTCGAGCGTGTCGCTACTTTAATGTTAATGTGTAGGGCTCATGCGTTCTCTTGTGTGAAATATCCGAAAATCTACTTTACTGTGCTACTTCTGTGAAGGGTTTTCACCGAATTATCGATGAGATCGTTATTTAGACGACCGTTAGTAGGTTTAACAGTTTTTATTTAGTTCGTCTCTTTTTCTAAACTTAATCACTCCCCTAAAGTAGCTTTCGACAGATGTATTTTTTATAATAATAATGTTGTCTCTTATACAATGCTAGCCGACCCGACAGACGTCCTGTACACACTACTTAAATCCGACAACAACTTAAACACAATAAGACACGAAATTGTCAAGGTAACTCCTTCGCTGTATATTAAATGTACCTATACAAGAGGACATTGATTCGAGCAATGTCCTCTAGTGTAGGTGGGTGGCGTGACAGAAATAGCATCGACATCGCAGTGGCCGACGTGAACGGCAGTGAAGCCGACGGGTAATGGGTTCACTGCGGGCTGTTACGCTTCATTGTTATCGCCCACTACGAATACCCGCGTGATATCGACGCCCAATTCAAGTGTGCTCAATAGCCGGGTGCTACGTATATATTTGTGCTACGAATATATATCGGGGCTACGTGCTATCCGCTACGAGGAACGTAGGCGATAACGGTGCGAATGTTGCTATGACGGTTTACGTTAACTACGTTCAGAGATTGTGGTGATTTTTCTATTGGAAGATGTCTTGACAGTTATTTTCACATATATTATTCTGTAATTCTTTGCGTGTTAAATATAAAAATTATATCTGACATAATCATCGGCATGCTATTTTTTTCTCTCTCTTATAAGTATCAATACCAAGTTATAAATAGAAGGAAATGTTATTTTTAACAAACAATATAAAGTTCAAGCTATCTTTGGCTGTAAAAAACAATTGTATAAGTTTTATACATAAGCTTAAGCTGGTTCGAAAGTAGATAAACTTTGAGTGTCCTTCTCGAAAGTTTCTATCACTTAGAAAAAGATCATGTTATGTACGAAATAAGGCACTAATATCCGATGATATTAGTGCCTTATTAGTTACCTTATTAGTTATGATCTACCCCAAAAGCTTTGAAAGACGCAAACTCAAGCCATTTTCAGTAGGAAGAATACCCCTTACGCAGCGAACCAGGGCTGTCGTGTGCCAATAGGAGTTAGGTGAGATCACGTCGCGCGATACGCGGCACGCGACGCTATCGCGACAACCCTTAATAGCGATTTATGAAGGCTATGACGTCACCGCCAGCACTCGGATAAAGGCACCTTTTACGCCTGTTATGTTACGTCTGAAATTTTCTATATAGCTCTAACGATATTGAAAACATGACAGCTATTAGTCATGTATTAAAATGTACGAAAGAAGAACCGTTTAGAACATTGTTAGATGTTATTTTGCTTATATAATGAATTTGTTCTTGTTCTAAGGAAATTTACATAGCGAAGAGTGAAATATTGTAGTATTTTATTTCATACTCGGAAAATAAATTGGCACGCGGAGCCTATAACTCTAACGCTGAATGCGGCTTAATTAAGCCCACTGGCAAATGGACTGCCAACATTTTTTTTTCCTTCTAACAATGATTAAGAAATAAACACAAATCACAATTTGATTACTATTAATTTAAATTGGCATACAAAATTTTCCAACAGTTCATTGCAGAAAAAACCGATCCTGGTACCTCTAATGTAGTATACTCCAACGAGGATAGTACATTTTCTCTACTCGGTATTGGATGAAGCTTTATTTATACACGACTAGCAGCTGCCCGCAACTACGTCTGCGTAGAATAGGGTGAAGGCGTAACATTCAGTCAGAAAGACAGATATACATTATAATATATATATATACATATATATGTATATGTATAAATTATAGCCTATGTGTTATTCAAAGCTATAGTATTGTAGTTTCATTAAAATCCATTCAGTAATATTTGTGTGAAAGAGTAACAAACATCCATTCATACAAACTTTCGCGTTTATAATATTAGTAAAGATGGACTGAAAACGTTAAGCATTTTTCTGATAATATAAGATCATTAGTCTTAAAAGCTGGCATAAACAATTAAAAACATTTAACTAGTTCAAGGAAGTATACTTCAACAACACCGTGATTAATAAACATTCCGTCGAGTAACTCTTAACTGAACTCTCGCACTGGAATAACATTAATTATGAACGCTCAACTGTCAGTCGTGCAATTATAATTTAAATTCGAAACTTCACTTCGCTTCACAGCGAATACAAAACTCGAAGTGCAACAGTTATTTAAATTAATATAAATTAAGAACGCGTCCGCGAAGTAACGAGCGACCGGATTATGGTTTTCGAACGCGAAACGGGATCGCGGTTGGCGCACGTCCGAAATGTCAAACGTCAAAGAGTTGGCGGGAAAAAAATAAGCGATTTGACACGAGCGCTGCAACCATTGATGGTGACAGTAATGGATACCGTCGAATTTTAATAATATACGAGTCGCCTGGTGCGATTTCAGGAGTTTTTTCCGGGCCGTCGATACCTTTGATAGATCGTAATTGCTTCTTCGATAATCTTGCAGTAAATAATAACGTGCGGATTGCAGTGATACATTATTCCACTTTTGAAATAATTTAAGTCGTTTATGACGAACGTAATAAAAGGTTATATATTTTTGACCAATGTGATTTGAATCATCGATGTGAAATAAGACAAAAAACGAATGAATTTCAGCGTTTCACTCAAATTACATAACACGATCTTTACCTATTCTCACTGCTTTAACTAGGGAATCGTACGAATTTTCATAATTTTATGAAAATATACATTTGTTTATTTTTATTTTATTACATTATAATTTATTTTGGTATGTTATATTTTTATTACATAGATTTTTTAACAGGTACATAAAGTTAATTATAGTTTTGCTTCGACTGTCGATTAAACTCAAAAGTGAATTCGAAACAAAATTCCAGGTCAATCCAAAATGTAGTCAAATTTTGAAGCGTTTTTGTTTTTTAAACAGAGTATTACACATAAGAAGAAATGAATATGAAAAGAACAACACGAAAGGATAAAAGTTCAACGCATATAACAATTTGCATAAAACAATACAGTAATGAAACCGAAACCGACAGAGATACATTGTTATTTGTAATACTTACATAGGTATGGTTGTATGGAAGCTAGTCCAGTCAACTGATGAGCTACTTACAACCCCAACTAATTCCATGCTCAAGAGCCGTGAACGCTCACCGTCCGTTCTCCCGCCAATAAGTTCAATGCACTCGGCCAACCAGCGTTTAAATTAAAAGTAATTTTGAGGTGAATCTGTGACTTTATTCAATGCGAAATGCTCATCATAGGCATATGAAATGACTGTACTTAGTACTTTTACAGAAAGACAACACGGAGATAAGACATTAGTGCATCAATACCGTACTCTGCAGACAGCTCCAGAGACTTACGTACAGTCGGCGTCCGTGTGATTACTTAGCGTATAGAGCCGTCCACGCTTTCAATGGGGGCAGCGCGTATACGGGACGCGAAAAAATGGACTTGCGGGTCGCAAAGACTGATACAAATCGACGGGTGGACTCTCAATGCCCTAATACCGGTAATGGAGGATACCTCGAAAGGTTTGTCGGGTCCATATAGTGAGGCCGATTTATATGAATCAAACATGTACGCGTCCGAAAACGTGACTGTGCGACGATATTTAACACACGCGTGATATGATGCTATATATAAGCTATTACCGCCCATGTTTAACACGCGGGTCATATTAACGTGCTAAGCTATTACCGTTCATGACAGCTTGGAGGTAAATAAGTCCAAAGGTTGCAAGTGTGTGACAGGATGACTCATCTGTTATTCCACTCCGAGGATTAAACGCAATGATTGCGCATTTGTTGCTATAATTTAACGTCGATGTTTTGCGCGCTGTCTTCCTTTCCAGCGGGATAATGAAGCAACAGCAGAAGCTGCTAGATAGGTTTTCCGCGTATAACTGGCCTCTAAACGAAAGTAAGTGTATTAAGAGATATTTTTTACTTACCAGGAATGTAGTGCGGTCGAGAAGACTGTCATCCCCGAGTTATCTGTAAAGAACATTATCTTTTAATGTGTGTTGATACGTTAAATGTCTCCATATATTATTAAACTAGCTGCTGCCCTTGACTACGTCTGCGTAGAATAGGCTGTAGGCGTAACATTCAGACAGATGTACATAAAATATGTATATAAATTATAGCCTATGTGTTATTCTGATGTATAAGCTATATTATTGTAAGGTTTCATTAGAATCCATGTAATAGCATTTGCTAAGAGTAACAAACATCTATCCATACATACAAACTTTCGCGTTTATAATATCAGTAAGGATAACAATGACTATATGACTATATCTTATATAAAATTTCACTTTGATTCTCTCAAAACAAAACGTATTGTCAAGATTAATAATAGACGTGCGTCAAGACGGCGGAGATATAAAAGTAACGACTTAACGACCGAACGCTAGGACAAATGACATCATATACAACTTAGTTAACAAAGCATAAGACGATCGCGCGGGGCCCGTAATAATGCGAGAGATTCTGATGAGATCTGCCTACGGTGCGATGCACGGCGGACAAAAGATACCCATTAATCACGTCGCCGAGTACAGTCGACGGGGAAAGTGTTAGTTGCCCACGTATATTTCTTTGGACGGGATTAAGTGCTTTGTTGGCGGCAGTGGTAAGTGCAATCCCTGCGCGCGCCGCGGGTAATACATAGGGTAGATGTTACGTGTGGTATTTTTTTATGTGATGACGTGGCGAGCGAGATGGCGGTTCACCTCGTTCGGCGCCACCCGTTGCAAATGAGTTGCCATCATTTAATAAAGTGGGCCCCGGCTACCTCGCGCACCAGACGAAACGCAGAAGTACGACACATCCAGTTCACGCCGGTCGTTTTTTAGGTCGTGGTACTTACCCGGACGGACCTGCCCATTCGTGCAACAGCCGAAGCTGTTGCGTGGCCATACCACAGTTATAGTACCCTACCACAGTAAATTTTAAAATTATTCTTACTGCTATTCAATCTCATGGTAAGTGTTTATAATAAGGCGTAAAGGACCATAAAGCTCTCACTTTGAAAGAAGAAAGAAAGAAACGAGAAAGAAAATACATTTATTTACCAAAAAATTTAAGACGCACCTGTCGAAAAAAATTCACGACTTTAATTCTTTCTGAATAATGAACGTCGAGCAACTTTTGGTTAGAGTAAACAGGTCTTGAACAATATTCCTTACACTTAAATCGGCACGGAAGATAGTTCGCGACCGTCGCCCGACGATTTAGAACGCTCGCAATATTCAGCGGTACATCTGTCCCCGCGAAACTCCGTGCCGGTTGTTTTAAAAAGTTTTCCACTTCAGTCGGCGAGCGTACCTCGGCGGTGCGGCCGCGTGGGAATGCGGCGATGCGAAATATCTAGATTACATTCAGGCGCAGCCGGTGCCGGGGCGCGGTGCTTTCGTAACGTCTGGCTAAGGCAACAACGCGACTGTACCGCTCGTTGTGCGATTGTGACGAAGATAAGGTTTTTATTTGTCGGCACTGTGAATTGGCCGTTGTGGTGACGTAACCTCGCGTCGATGCTTTAAGCCTAGAAGTAACAACTCGTTTCCCGTGGATCCACTCACGCGGATATCGTGTTCGTACAATGAATGGCCCATACTTCTATGAAAGAAACAATGTCTATCACATTCTCCATTAACGTGATACTATTATATATTATATATAAAATATGGGCAAGGAAGATAGACATAATACGTTCTAATGCTCGCATTTTAACCCTAATGGGCTAGAAATCACAAACACAACAACAACGACAACAAAATAAGCGCAATGATTACAGCAAGCAACTTCAAAGAGAAGAATTGAATTCGATACTTTGCGATTGCAAAGCCTGGCGTCTTAGTCTCTCAGCCATTAGCTGAATCAATAGATATAGTGACGTAACTCCATATAAATGTGGCCGCAATAAACTTTTATTGATTGCTATGATATAAACAATTGTAATTTATTAGTTGACTATTGCAATAAATTTTAACACTCTTTTACTGAATGGGTTTTTTTCTTAACACGTGTTAAGGTTATCGTTGTATGTAATTTATATATAAAAGAAGCTATCTATTTGGCTTATTTTCATTTTAAGTTTTTTATTATAATGGAATTATATAAGGTATTAAATAAAATATACCTTAGCTGCTATATATCCTCCCGTGTCTCTTATAAAGATGGTGAAACCATCTTTTGATAACAGGAAAGAAGACCAATCGGAGTAGGAAGAAGATATTAAATAATTTTAATAAATTGATACAAAGAAGGAAAGGTAAATAATTAAATAGAAATGGTAAATATACTACTTAGATATTGTGGTAGGGCCACGCAATCTACTGTCGAACAAGTCTCATACAAGACCGCCGTGATGTGTATTATACTTTCGTGTTTTGTTGATGATTTTGCTGATTACCCGAGAATGTTATAGATGGTCTTGAGCGGCGGTGATAAGTAAAAATAAGTAACGGCCTAAATATTATATGTCCCACTGCTAGGCATTGCTATCTCAAAACAAAGGGTATTTATTTGATCATAGCTTTACATACTCAAATATCATTTGAATTAAAATTAATTTGATGATATATTGCATTCACATATCCCTTTCATTACAATATATTCGCACGTTGTAAAACAATAGTCAAATTAAGTTTAAAGGTTCATTAGTGTCGGCGTTTGTAACGAATTAATGCGAGCGCTCGGGTAATGAGATACCATAGCTCATAGATATAAATAATAAAAAAAATTACACCACAGTTCGAGTCGAGACGACTTATTGACGGTTTTTATTCAGATCGCAGGTGAATCCCTCTCCTATGCGCTAACGTGGGGCACGACCTTTCGCTGCCAGCCGTGGTTCGCGCTATGGTTGACAGCGAGATAGCGTGGGGTGCTTTCCTCGCATATTGCGAGGACGTTATCACACGGAAAGAGGCCGCGGAAAGAGAAAGGGAGGCAAATGCCACCCTAGGTATCCGCCGCCGGAGACCAGGGCGCAGGAGGCTGGCCTACGCGCGCAACCTTCTCCCCTGATAGCGAGACCCTGAGCGGCAGACATGGGGGCGTCTGTCGCTTAATATGGGGCTCGTGTGCTGTGCCAATTGCACCGACACAGCACCATCTAGTAGAGGAGGTATAAAAAGGCCCTAGCCGCGTCGGGGTCGCGGAAGATTGCGTCCACGTGTTCCCGTGTCCCCGGCCGATGCGACAGAGACAGGTGCAACGTGGCTTTTTCAGTGGGTACCCGTTTCTCACCGGGACTCCCACATACCCCTGGCACTCCCCCAATCCAGTGGTAGGGGATCCATAAATGATTTTTCCCACGGAAAAAAAAGGTGGATCCCACGAATGAATGAACCTTTTCAAAGAAACTCTCAAAAAATTCTGTTGACAAACTTGATACTTCTGCACTGTTGTAGGGCGTTGGCTGTTGCACGAATGGGCAGGCCCGTCCGGGTAAGTACCACGACCTCAGAGAAGAGCGGCGTAAAGTGGAAGTATAATACTTTCGAGTTTCGTCTGGTGAGTGAGGTAGCCGGAGCCCGATTTTCAAAAGGCTGTCAACGCATCTGCAACCCTCGGGTGAAGCAGATGTCCTTGGGCGGCGGTATTCACTTAATATCAGGTGAACCGCCTGCTCGCTTAGCATCACAAATTACAAAAAAAAATTAGTTAAAAAACTTTTTGGGTAATAGGGATCGACACAAACATGAACAGCGCCGTGAACGTTGGTGAGTGTTACTAATCACGATTTATTCAAGTCTCAAAAGCGCAATCTCTCACGCCCATAACGGCGTACTCGTGGCTGTTCTTCGAGACAAAGACCACATAGGGGCTAGTTAGTTTCCGTCTGCGGTAATTATTTGATTTTATTTTATTACGCTGCAGCGGGGAGTGTCCGATGTTGCCCTCGGGGGTTTTTCCAATTTACCTCGCCAGGTAGTGATTCACGGTCAGCCGTCCGTTCGCGGTAATTGCCGCCATTTAACATTCGGCTGGCAACACTAGTTTCGGGACGCGACTTGGCCCGAAGCGGGGTGCGCTTTTAATGTCCAATTGCGATCGGACTTTTAACTATCTCGCGTTCGCGATTTATTTACTAGTTTGTTTGTTTGTTTATGGCAACGTCAAGTGCGCCTCAAATGATAAAGAGTGATGAAGAAAGAAGTAGTTGTAAATTTCTGGCTTAAATTAAGCAAGCATTTATGGACACATGATTAATCATCTGACCTGCGTGTATACAATTTATGAATATTAATATTTTGTGAACTGTAGACAATTTTGTCTATTTGGCGATTTTATCATTTACTGTAACAGTATGCCTAAAGGGCAGACTGTCTGAGAAATGTTCTCGAAGCTATAAACTAACAACAATACAATACACAATATATAGAGAAATTGTCGAAAAATATTCCACTGTTGCAAGGGTTTACATCTGCAATTTCCGGATGACGCATCCAGTCGTTCTAGCCTCTAAGCCAAAAGAACGATATCTTCACCATACGTTTAGCAGGTTCATTCTACGAAGGTTATACTGATAAACTGATTGTGTTCATCGCCGTTATTTTGTTTTTACACAACCTGATCCTTGAGTTGTTCATGGTACTGGTATTGGACATATCACCGGTTTTTTTAGTAGTTTGTACACAAGTAAATTTTGGATACAAAAGCTATAATCGCTTAAACACGTTTAACTGAATTTATTACAGACCAAACGTGACGTTGTAGACTATACGAAACATTTATATAATGTATGATTATATAAATGACCTCATTTGTAGCGTGCCACCCATTAGGTAAGCGCACACGTCCAGTTTTCTATAATACATTTGATCTTCAAGCAACGTAAGGGCGGGGTGCAAAATAATAATGCACGCGCAACCGTTATATATTCCTTCAGCTTTCAGTTAATTATAGCAGTCTATCGACGACGTCGACGTCAACTGCGACGCCTGCCCACCTAATTGCCGGTACTCGTCGACGTGTGGTCCGCAACGGAGCTATTATTAAACCGAACCTATTATTCCCTGGCATCGCCTACATCTGAAGCTGCTATGTGCTAGCAATGCCTACTATTGAATAACCCTAGCAATGCCTACTACGTGCCATTTGAGATCGTGCGGTTTTAGAGCTCTTTAATAATAGACAAGAACAAAAGAGCTCAGCCCTTTTAGCCGAGAGAGTATAGGCACTTAGAGCATTTTAGCTTTATGCGAAACAATTAGTTTTCATTTAAATTACATGTACGAATATGTTACTCCTAAAACATTTGATAGACTCTTGACCCGGTATTGGAATAATACTCGTAAATTATTACACAATGACCCTTAATATTAATCGTATTAATCTTTAATTAATAACAATTTTTTTTTGATTTTACTATTGTTTTTTTTTTATGTTTGCCGTTTAAATGTGCACACCTATGATGTTTGAACTATTCTGGCCTTAATGTGGCGTATTTGTTCAATAAATGCTTTCTTTCTTTCCTTAATCATTTAAAATTTGAATCGTATATATTAGAACTGGCGGGACTCTGCCTATGTGGGTAAAAGCAGCCAAATTAAAATAAGGAAAAATTTACTTACCGGCCAAGTAGTTTGCTTCGTCGTTTGTTACGTTTACGGAAAAATTAGAATTGTGCCTTTATGTCAACATTGAATAGACTTTTACCGAGCTTTGCGAACAACAGCTACGGAGCCAATTACCGGTGAACAGCAAAGCTCAAGGCAGTTCATGATTTTAAGAAAAACTGGCGTTTGTGGCTCGGTGTAAACGGTGTGCGTCTTTCCTCGGAATTTATAAACCCTGCTTTTACTGTATAATGTTTGTGAATACATTATATTCTTGCTTTAATGTAAACGGAATTATTGGGCACAAAGTAAAGAAATAATTAAAATAGTCAAAAACCCCGTATTGAAAACTGGCTGCTGCGACTATTTAAAATAAAACTTTTTAGAATATGTAAAATTTTTTTTTTTTTTTGTTAAAACCACGTTTGCATTTCAAGTATCGCGTAAAATCAATTTCGTTTGTTATTGGCTGCCTTACGTTACTCAAATGTTAACAGCGTTGGTGATGCTTTATTTTTATTTACATTAAAATGGATCCAACAATTAGATTCGTTTCGAATTAAGCGTGAAATTTATTTAACCCGGCCGCAGCACGGTGTACAGTTACGTCTAACGAAAACGGGAGGAGGAAAAAAAAAAGAATATACAAGTGAAACTTTGCGCTCGTCCGCGAAATATTTCGCTAACTTAAATTAAACCGAGTTTCGCCTCTTTGGGTAACAATAAAAAAATAAGAGAAACATCCGCGGGAGACACTCGGCGGCCGCGCGTAACTGTTTTCACTAACAAATTAAGGAAGTGCCCGGCCGCCTCCTCGGGGGGCGAAATTAAGTAGGGCCGTAATCTTGGTGCGGACTTTCGGGGGACAAAAGTTTAGGAAATTACATTTTCCGGGGCCGTGTGTCATACGTTGCGTTGTTTTCATGTTATCCTGGTACTTTTGTCTCTTAATGAGAGGTGCATTTTAGTTGATGAGGTACATTTAAATTTACATTTACATTCATAAATAATGTTAAATATACTTTTACGTTAAAAGAGTTTTTTTGAATAGTAAAGTTATACAGTATTTTTTTTATGTGAAAAGGTGGCGAAGAAGCGGGCGGTTCACCTGATGTTAATGTTGCAAATGCGTTGCCACCTTTAAATAAAGTGGGCCCCGGCTATCTAATTCACCTGTCGAAACTCTGAAGTGTATATAACACTTCCAATTCACACCGGTCTTCTGTGAAGTCTTGGTACTTCCCCGGACGGACCTGCCCATTCGTGCAACAGCGAAGACCTACCAAAGTTAAATTAAAATGAATTATTACTATAAATACTATTACATCACTCTACCCAAAGAACGAAGATGACGGAAAGGCTTTTTTGTTTTGGAACTTTACCGTACCGCCCCATATTACATGTGTACGAATTTGTTCTTTTCAAGTTTTTTTTATTGCATATCCTTGCATATTCCTAAGTAGTATTAACTCTATTCTGTAATTACGCATTTCATTTTTAAATTGGTGTTGTGTGATGTCGCGAATAAATGTTTTCTATTCTATTCTCCTCTTAACGAGTCGGAGACGTGAAATTCCATTTGAGTTTTAGACTTTAGCTCCGAACGCAGTTGTCAGTTTAATGCGTCCATATACGAAAACTGCTATCTTACATTTATCACTATAAAATAAGATTAACTATTAGAAATAATCTAAGCAACCAAAACAGTGATTTCATAATGTCAACTTAGCCCCGGAGTCGTGCATCAGACGTCAGGAAGCGAACTCCGCGTACCCGGATATAAGCCGGTCAATCTCGGTCATCCGGGGATCCCGGCCGGACGCGGACTAATGTCGCGGCCGCCGGACAAATAGATCCCCGGATTAGCGACGCCTTGATTAACCCGGGCATGGGGTGTTCGCCGACCACTCTGCACCCCTGGTACTTCGAACACCAATACTCGGTACGTTACGCTTTAATGACACAGGCTGTAATTGGATTTTCGTATTGCGAAGATCACTCATCAGTGAAAGGCCCAACACAAATTACAACATCAGGTTAGCGTCTTATGTTTTGACGAAACTGCCTGTTAACGTTTAATTTTTGACATAAGTATTTCGGACATGTCGACAGCTCTACAGCTTTACCCAAGCCGCAATAAGCCCTTTTACTGCTTTATATTTAGTAAATCCATTGTAAATGTGCCCCATTTGAGCCCGACGTATCGCGACCAAAAGAACATCTGTCACTTTTTAAAACGTATTTGGTTCGTTGTGAAGTTTGAATTCGATTCCTGTCTAAAATTGCTGCCATAATTTAAAACGACTCTGAAGAGTACTTAAACGGGAAATTATTTATATTTGACAACCAACGCAAATACGTGTTAAGAATTCACACCGTACCCATCTTTGAAAAGTACAGTCGTTAGTATTCTTTGAAAACATTGTGGGATTAATAAGGGTATCATTGTCCTTGCGCGCGACTGTACAAGTCGAACGCCTCCGCTGCGGATGTGAGCAATCTGCTATACGGGCGGTTTAATGGGACAAATTTAATGAATCGGGCGTTGGTCGGGCACCGATAGTGGATAATACTTTACGCTTGTTGGACGCGAACGTACAAAGTGCTGGAGATTAGGGCTGGATAATGGGTACATCGATGTTGGGGCCGGATTCTACAAAGCAGATCTCGAATTTCCCAAGGGACGTTAATAGTTCCACAATACTTTCTAGTTCAGTCCATGGAATTGTGGTCGCAAGTTCGATTCAGTTTCGGTATAAAATTCTAAAATTGATGTTTATTGTTGCATTCCACAGGTTCGAACCTGATTTCATGTGTTTTCTTGTTAAGGAGTAAGTTATTTTATGTGACGATTACACATCATTGTGATGTTCAGAGGATACTCTAAAATATTTCATATAAATTTAATGTCACATACTAGAACTAACCAAACAATACATTCTAGCAGTAGGTAGTAAGCGATCATAAGCTTTAGGGTTGGTGGCATACTGCCACGGCCAACTTCTGTTTAAATATATTAAAATATATTATCTGATAGCTGTTTATGTAGTTGACGCTAAATTATGTTATGTGCAAACTTCATAACAAATTCAGATCAGAATATTTTCCTGCGGCATAGTTTTGAAGTTGTGATTTAGTTCATAAACTTAACATTGATTTGAATTATTTTGTGGTTACAATTTCGCGATAAAGCAAATTAAGAGCCGGTTTTCATTTTTATTTTTTCATTAAATAAGCTAAAAATAAATGGTTATTGAATGGAAGTTTGAGCTAGTATCAGCCGCCTTCACTGCGTCATTTTACCCGCGGTTACACCGGTGACCACGGTTTCGCCAGTGTTGGCGTGACTTTAAAAATTATTTCCAACCATCGGGTACATGCACGCAACAGCTAACATATATAAATGTGCTATTTTTTTAGTTCATGACATAGTGGCGCTTTATTCTGTTTAATGCAAGGTCACATAGCCGTAGCAGACGATCAAGACGCTTCCAATTGTACCTCATTGATCAAATTATGTCATACATACATACATACCGGCTGAAAAGATAACCCTGTGCCGTAGTCCGGCAACAATAGACGCACGCTAAGAATTAAAATTGACGGGTTTGAACCCGGGAAATCCGAGGCGCGGCTCATTGTTAATACCGTTGCATCGCTGCCCCTAACGGCACTCTGCGGTCCATTGCTGCGAAGGTTCAATTATATCACGACCGGAACCCTTGTATCGGCTTAATTTCGAAATGACCGACGATACCCACATAACCAAATCACAAGAACTCACTATACGGAAACGGATTACGGTTTGGGGGTCCACGCTACACTGGCCGTACAAACATCAAAGAAATGGACCAGTTAAGCGAAACCAGTAATTGGTAATGACTTTATAATTAGCGGGTGTCTCGTTTCGCTGGCGCTTGTACGTAGCCTTATAACGGAGTCATCATTCATACTCTTGCGGCGTCACGACTCGCTAGGGGCGTAATCCAATTTAAAATTCACCCGGCCGGCGGAAAGAGTGCGGTAATTTTGACGGGCAGAAGGGGGCGGGGTGCACTTGTGATTTTCGTCGGGTAGCGTCTTGGAAACGCGTGAGGGCGCATTGGCCGCCCTATTTAAGCCTTCACCTTTTCGAATTTATTCTTAGCGTGTCCGTAAGACCGAGGCTTTGATGGTGAGCCTCTTGAATAAATGCGGTAAAAGGGGGCGCGCCTGTGAAGGTTTTTGTGCAAGCAATTAGCGGCAAAAACAAAAAAGAAAGCATATGCTTTCTTTTTTGTCATTGCCCACCCGGAAATGTTACGGACGTAAGCTAAACAACTCACTGTGGCTACGCGTTATCGGACGAATAGTGAACTGGCACGTACGCAACAACAACTGTATGTGGGGGACAAAAAAACGAACATGCGCTTTAATACATACGGAACATGTAATTGTTGTAAATGTTTCGTGTAAATCCATTTCGTGCTTGTATCAGTTATTGTATGCCTGCCAGTTGGTGACTAAAACAAGTTCTTTTTTGAAAAATAATCAGTAAAAGGGTGATTAAAATGTAGAAAACTTTTCTCTTTAGCCACGTGAAGAATATTATTTTTCATTTGTTTGAGATTTTAGCCGTCGCCACCGTGAGTTTTTTCCTAGAAGCCTTTGAATAGCTATTCACACAAAGAACTTTTCGATTCTTTACACGATCCAAAGCGATTAGTTACAGAATGGAAACATAAACTCGCTCAAGCCATTCATCGTTGAGCCCTGATTACGGATTATTTGGCATCTCAATGCCCAATCTTGTTAAAAGCATGTCATCATCACGTCAATCTTCCTGTATGGACGCAATGTTCCCCGAATTTTCCGTTCACCTTCGCGTCATTCAGATGGCCTTATTAGAGTACTTAGAATACAACGGAGAACTACACAATAGCCAACGAGAAAGCGCCACAGCCGCACTCAATTTCGCCTGTATCAAACGGCAGCGCTGATCGCGTTAATATTTACCATTAGCCCCGCGTTCGGGGCTGATTCACCGCGGCATTAATCCTTGACGCGGCCACGGCCCGCAGATCGTCGTCTCACAATGGCGGGCAATAAGGCGCGCTTTCGACGGGAAGCGTCGCCGTGCCGTTTGTACACGCGGCGATTACGCTGTTAAAGCCAGAATTGAGGTCATCATTCGCGGAATAGCTCCGTCAGCTAAATCACTGAGTGAGGTATACGTCGCGAAGTCGTCGAATGCTTACGCTCCGCTGAGCACGTAACAAGGTGACAGTTATTTATGTAAACGATTTTTCCGGGTGCTGCCCTTTGTCAGCGCATTATCCTTCGCGATTATTTGTTGTAAGGCGTTATAATGACGTTGATAATATTAATGAGAAATTCTTTGTTAGTCTCTTCTTCGTCCCGTAACGGTGGAAGCGGGATGATTTTTACAATCGACTAAGACATGGGATTTTTCTCATTGTAACACCGATAGGGTGGAAGTTGACAAAGCGTAATTTGTATCATTTTAGGGTATCTTTTGATAAACTAACGAACACGTAATATCTCCAACACACGTCTGTTAACACAACTAAACGATCACGCACGCACAAACCCCCCAGACACGCTCGCGGCGCATTAACGCCGTTTTTCCTCTTAAACGGGCCGAAAACGATCACAAACTAGATTCACCTCATTACGGCACTCGCGGCGCGTGGTTCGTTGAACTCCGGGTAAAAAATCAACGGCCATTTGCTCCGCATGTGTCACGCGTCTACCCCAGTTGAGTGCAGCGGAGTACACGTTGGAGCCGACGAGTTATTTTCGATTTCGACGCTTTAATCGCCTTTCTACCAAACAGGACGGCATTAGCGTAAACACGTAGTGGATTAATGTCTCTGTTTAACGTGCTCTCGTTGTATACGCAATATGTTACGTTAGATATATGTTTCTAAAGCGATGGCGTTTATGTTTACGTATCCTTTCCAACATTTTGAACAGCTATGCTCGCAGGAGGTTGAAGTTTTCGAATTGATGAGAAAATCTTCTCATTTTTAACAACTTTATATCCTCCCCTCTATCATCTTATTTATCTTTACACAACCCTAAACTTTGTAGATATGTTCATTTAATTTTAGTAGTAACTAGAAGAGGTCCTATTCCTAAAACATATTGTTATCCGTGCTGCGACTCCACGCCATCTACTGTCAAGAGCAAAACACGAGACAGTTTGAAATCATAATCATGATATTCTTACAAAATATACCTACATCCCCCTAGCCTCTGATAGAGCCAGGGCCACGCATATATAATTGATTGTCGACACGAATATATAATTCACCACAATAATTTCGAAAATATGTGAAGTCCGCCAATCCGCAGTGGGGCCGCGTGGTGGACTACTTTACTTTATTTTAAGGGAATATTCCGAATTCTATACGAAAATTTAATTCCATCGAGCCTGTTCGTCCCGGACCATCAATTAGTGTACATTATAAAATAGCCGCTCCACCGCGCTAAGTAAAAACCGCCAAAAATTCCGGCGAGATTTTCGAATCCCTCGAAAGGGTGAATTCGGGAAAGCCTAAGTCGGATAATCTGTCAATTAGCTGGGAGATTAATTACTCATTTAATTCTCCTTGTGCCCTGGTCGAAGCGGAAAGAATGTCGGCCGGAGTGGTTTATAGCCGATTCGCAAATCACTCGGCACTGATTCACTTGGCCCTTTTAATTGCGAAATGCATTATTACAATTAGCTTTGATCGACGCTTTGGCAGCCTATTCGTAACGGAATCGTTTTCGTCAAATTAAACTAATGTACTAATGTTCGTCCCGTTACCAAAACTGTCTGTTAAATGTTTCCAAAGTTGGGAAATAAACGCGAAAATCCGTGTAAATAAGTTTTATCCACAATACGAGAGATTATTATTAACTTGTTAAGTTTTCGGTACATACAGTAAACGTAAATCAATCAAACATTGTGAGCTATCTCCACGGTTATAGCCGCATTGGCGTGACTGACGCACTTTAGAATTAACATCACTAGTGGCATACGATTCTCCAAATTCTCTCTCCCCAGCAGCCTCCGTGCGGTTATTCGCGCATTGGCGAATCGGAACGGGCCGTGAGCGAATTTAAAAATGCACTCGCATCCCGGACGACTTTCGGTGATGGCCGGGAGCGTTATCAAGAGCCGTGAAATTGCATGTCAGCGGCAAGTCGTCTGCGATTTTAGCGTTCCGGGATCCGCGACGAGAGCTCCGAAGGAGGAGGTATTTTAATTTACCAGTTATATCACTATCCAATGTGGTTTAGTAAGTATTTTGTGCCCCAATTTTTCACAAAAAGGAATTCTTTAATGTTGGATTAAATCTGTGTTAATTTATATTCAAAAAATACTTAGGTATCTACTTTTTTCACTCTTCGGTTAGCTTCCTATCTGCTTTTCACTATGATAGGGTTTGACTAGTAGAGAATGCCATTGTACCCTTTATGACTACATCTTAAACTAAGCTTAAGGTGTAGCAATAAAGTTTGAATAAATAAATAATCAACGGATTTTCAAATTGATAATGTAGGCCTTATTTAAAAAAAAAAATTGAATTGTTCTTCATTATTATACTGCTGTCACTACACCATTCCTAAATGATATAGTCAGAATTCTTTTCTCACGCCAAATAGACCTTACTTCTATTCTAAACAACGCGTCAACGCGTATTGCTTGGGAAAGTTTCAACTTCAAAACTTGTAAAACGCGTACATTTGTCTATATTAAACATTTTACCAGGGCTACAAAGGTTAAACGAAGTAGTAGACGAACATAGATTCACTTAACTATTATACAGTTGCCGATATTGGCGTTCATAAAGCGTGCCCGGGCCCCCCCGGGGAAGTCCACGTGTGCCAACCGGGACCAACGTTGACCCGTGCCGTTCGCAGTGAAATGCGATGTATCCAGGTCAAACGAGGGTTTGGCGACACTTTTATATTCGTCCAACGAGCTTGTATGCCACGTGGACTGACCCTTTTCATAAGTCAACATTTACAGCGTAGATATAACAAATCGGACATTACGATGTTTCCACGTGAATTTTTTGTATTCGTCATAAAATCACGTGATCAAAGTCACGTCAATCAAAGAACACGTGAAGAGAAAACATGTTTTTGTCGTATTGTTCATCCCAATTTATATTCAATCTTTGCTGATCGAAGTTGGTTTCAAATCGATTAAATTATTGCAGAACAGATAGACAGACAGACATTTTTCGAAGTCACTCGAATGTCTGGATTTTTTAACTAATTAATTTTGAAAAATCTCGTCTTTATTCGGAGTATTCAGCTTTCTGTTCAGAAAGTCTCAAATTGATGTCGTCAAAATGGTAAAAACAGGTTAGGATATGTACGGTCCTATTGACAATGCGATTTTGTGGATATAAATGTTATATAATGTAAAAATCTTTATATTCTTTAAGCAAAAAATATGGTTTCTTTTAAACTATTTACAATTTACCACATGATATAAAGTACTACTCATACGTACTATACGACGTTTAATAAAAAAGTCTTACTTACGAAATCCCTCAATAAGGCGACATTGACATCTGTATTTTGTTTTAAGACAATGTTTCGCAGGTTGAATATGGAGAATCTTATCCAATGTAACATTGATAGAAACACCCTCCCTTTCGAGCCGAGAAATTATTGATAACAATTGGCAAAGTGTAGGCGGAACAGACCCGAAAGTTTCGGATCGCGCCCGAATTCCGCGGTAACTCTTTCAATTCCTTTAAAGTGGGCTACGGAGTAACATATTAGGAAGTTAACATGGAAGATGTAGTATTCTCAACTCGTCCGACGGCACGACGTTTGTCGTTACGTAACATCTAATTCTGAGACATTGATCGAAGCCCCGCCCGCGGAAGTTTCGAAGCGGTTTTACGTCTCGGATGGGTAAAACATCACGAAAGTCTAATTTTATAGCGACATACTGTTGTGTAGGGTGTACGTGGATTGTATGAAGGCTTGGAATTACTTAAGAGGTTCTTGAATGGCCAAGCGCGAGTTCGATAGCGATTTCTTTGAGTCGGCCCGGGCAGGTGGCCTTTGTGTTTTTATACAAGGGTGAAACACGGGTAACTGGGATATTGCTTTTCCAATTTATATCATCAAAGCAAACTCGACGTATTCGTGTATACAGTATTGATATGTGCATGAATATTGGAAATTCTTTAATAAATAATACAATGAAACCTGGGCCCCAATACACCAAACACAACAGGAGGTAGCGATAAAACTATGTAATATAGGAATTTTTGTGATACATAAGAAAATTACCTAAACGACTAAAAATGAGTTCTTACAGGTTTATTGCGTTCATTTAGAGACATTGTGAGACGTGACCGTGGACGCTTTAAAGAGCTCCAAATATCGGAAGTTTAAATAAATCAAAAAAAGAAAAAAATTATATATAAAACGAAAATTATATAAAACGAAAAATCAATAAAATTCGACCTTAAGCAATACAAAAAAGTAAGAATTGATTCAAACTGACTGAGTCACCAGGCCTTCTGCATTTCGAAAACGGCCGGTTATGTCATCGCTATAATTAGAACGAATCGCTTTTAAACGTAGCAACGATTCAAACCACGATAGCATCGCTTTACGGACGACAAAGGGGAATGCAATTAACACGATCCGTCATTCAATAAAGCGCATTTAAATTGAGTAATCCCTGGATGTTATCTCGTTGAATGTGATCCGAGCGAGGCTGCGTCCACATCGGACATAATGGTGAGGTCGCGTTTCAAATGTCATGGCAGTGTCTGTCCACATTCCTTGATTTCCAGATTGGCTATGAAATGTTTGTCACTTTAATCGCTATAGCGACACTGATATTTCTTTATTTTCTATGATGACGTGGGCATAGCTTAACTGGCCTTGTGTATATAGGTGTTGCAAAATTATTATTACCAACATCCTATCGCTACCACTACGAAGTAAACGTTCACCTACTAAAAAGCATATTAATTAGAGCAACTCGCATTTAAGTTTTCTTTCCTGCATTCAATCAGTATCTCTTTAATCACTATCACGCTAAATTTGCCTTAATATTAATTAGAGTTTACCTACCTGTGGTTTCCGTAGCAAAACAGCAAATTTTTACATTTTAAATAGTTTCTTATGTGTTAATCCAGCTTATTTGTTATCTCTTTCCTAATTTCATTGGAACCCGTCAAGCTGTTGGCGTGAACCTGTTTATAAATACGTTTCCACGCTA